AACTTTATGGAGATGCAGATTTCATTTTCTAACAGGACTTGGCCCCTGCACACAGTGCCAAAGCTACCAGTACCTGGTTTAACCCTCTGGGGACCAAGAACGCGCTGGCGCGTTTTGCTGTTTTTTTTTTTTTCACATAGCAGCAACATAGACTTAAAATACTCCGTAATTTATAGTCATATAAATAAAATCAATACATGATTATAAACTGTAGAGGGTCTTCTTTTTTGTGTACACTCACATTAACATCAAAACCTTGTTTTTTTTTTTAAATAAATAAAATAAACAGGGTGCGCTTTCAGCTCACTCTGTCTCCGCAAAAATCTTATACTTATCACACAAACATGAAACATACGTCTAGCAGTGGTTCCCAAACCTGTCCTGGCGACCCACCAACACTGATTAGGGAGACAAAGAAAACCTGCAAACACACCTGATTCAACTCATTAGCTCATTAACTGATAATGAGCTGATGAGTTGAATCAGGTGTGTTTGATTAGGGAGACAAAGAAAACGTACAGTGTTGGTGGGTCGCCAGGACAGGTTTGGGAACCACTGAGAACGCTTTAAATTTCTACTTTTAAATAAAACAATTCACATTTAAAACAAATATTCTCCTGCAATGTAATCTGTCTGAAACTAAAGAGAAGTACAGTTTCTCCTGTCTCAGCTCATTATCGTTAATTTGTTCACACCCACTCGCAGAGCGCGCTATTCATAAGATAATGTGTTGAGGCCATTTGCAAAATAGATAAACGCCCCCAGGCAAATGCTATAAACTCTGTAAACACACTATATTTTTTAGTCAGATTAAGATTCGTCTTGCGAATGAGGTATATGAGGTATGAGGTATAATCCTGCTATTGATGAGGTATATGAGCTATGAGGTATAATCCTGGGACATTTACCACAGTGTAACGATGCAGCAAGGAAGGAGCGGAGAGAGAATCCAAATGCAAGTTCTTTAATAAAACAAGCAGGTAATCCAATGGAACTCAAGACAGGGACAAGAACAGCAAACAACTACAACGACTGAAACCACAACTGAAACACAGAGGTATAAAAACACAAGCAGACAAGCTAAACAAGATAACAAGGGGGCGTGGTTAATCCCAGATACCTGGGGAGACTAATAACCATAGACGAGGAACACCTGTGGACACTGAGCAACAACATGACAAAAGACAAGACACATGGCAGGATCACATGACAAACAGGGAATCACGTGATATACAAGACACAACAAAAACCCACACGTAACACACAAAAGTACTGGTTTATTTTCACTTCGAGGAAGACCAACAGATTCAGCTGAGAAGTGTAAGTGTTTTATGCTTGTGCTTTGTTCTAATCGCGATATAGAATAACGTTAGTGTCTGTAAACGGAAAAAAAGCATACTGTTTAAATGTGAATCATGTTTCTGTGTGTGTGTGTGTGTGTGTGTGAGAATGAATTAATGAATGAACGCACAGATACGCACTGTTACAGACGAAATAAAAGACAAAATTTCGTTGACTAGTTTTGGATTAAGTTTTTCAAATCAAATAAGCTTCAAAATAAAGACATCAAATAAGCTTTTGTTAAGAGTTTCTGGGGATAGAAGTGTCCAGACGTATGCACCCTGTATTTTAAAGAAGAACATTTAATTATTTGCAATACATTATTAATTCACAAAGTATTCAGGGACATTATTCATGTCCCTAAAGGTTGGAGTTTTCCTCATTTTTTTAATTAAGGCATTACGATTTTATATTCCTCTTTTTAGTCAACTTTAGCATGGGTGTGTACACTTATTCTAAGCAGTGTGCGTGTGTGTGTGTGTGTATATATATATATATATATATATATATATATATATATACACAATTAAAAAAACTATTTTAACCAGAAAAATCTACAATGCATGCCCAAAGTTGTGCAGCCATATAGTTTCTCTTGATATCAGCATGTTCACAGGTGTTTTTTTTTTTTTTTTTAAGGGACAAGATGCCACTGATGAGTCCTGCTGACTTCAACATTCACAGGAGACTGTACATGAACATGGTAAAATGAAAAATCAAACACCTTTGAAATGACAGGCATGTACTATGTTTCAGGAATAGGACAATGCTGTGTGACTGTGCAAGCCTCTGTCTTTATATCAGTTTGTTTACTAATGTGCTTTTTTGTCCTTTGTTGTGTATCTTTGAATTATGTTGTGTTGTAAATAAATCCAAACAATCTAAAAGCCATTCTTTTTTAAATCTCCTCATTCTTTGTGCAAGGCTCCTCGTAATGATATGGCCTGATACCACCTAATAGGGCCATTATGGGAGGGTCTTTGTCTTTCTCAGGTGTGAAATTCCATACATATTAATGAGAGATCACGCCTCTTTGCATAAAGCTTTCTCAAACAAAACACGTCATACACATTCTAAAAGACTTTATTGACTTATCTGAATGAGTAGTCAGGATGATTCTCACATAGTTTTGGAGCAAATATTCTAGACTATGTGATACAATTTTCAAAAGTCTTGTGAAGAAATAATCAATATGTGTTTTGTGGCCTTATTTCAGAAACTTTTATTTTTAAGTTTTTCAATAACCATGCATAAATAATATTCTCTCAAAAATACAAACATGTACATACATGTTGCTCACAGATTATGGTAGCCCCGTTTGTGCTATATAGAGTGAATTTACACCTTTGCCATTAACATGTTTATAAATAACTGAAAAAAGCACAAATGTCAGTGCATGTCAAAACATCCCAAGGGCCCCAAAAACCCCTTGGTCCCCAGAGGGTTAAATTAGCAAATCCACCTGGATAAAAACTAGTAATTTTCTTATAATCAGCTAAATTCATTTGATTAGCACCTTAAACACTGTTATATTTTGCTGTACAAAAGTAGTGCTTGAAAAGAGTGAAACGCATTGTGATGTGAGCAAACTGTTCATTATTTGAAATCAAGGCAAAGGTTTGAAATAATGGTGATATCGATTTGAATTCGTATCACCCTTCACTTCATAAAGTAAGAGATCTGCAATGTTGTCTCTTGTTTAAATTTTCTCAGTATGTCCGGCAGATTCTTACAGGCTTACATGATGGCAAGGAAATTGTTGAGAGCCTTGATGAAGATAATGTCATCACAACTAGTCAGAGACGTCTCCTCGTCCGTATCTTGGTGTCGTACCTCATTGAGAAGTTTGGAGAGAAGTATTTTTTTTTTAATATATAGAATAGGTTTCCTGTTAAATACAGCAACATTCTCATTTTGAAATTGAATTAACATATTTCAACATAAGTAACAAGTACAACATGTACTTTCATTTTACTTAAATTTAAAAAAGCTTTTTCTGTTTTACAGTCCTACATCAGAAACCAAAAAGGCACTGGCATTGGGTTTGGTTCAGTCATTTGCCTGTTTGAAAGACTCATCAAGCAGTGGCAGCGTGAGTGTTTTTTGAAAAAATGTCATTGAGAGATTTATTTGGGTTGTCATGATCCTCAAACTGATTCAGCTTGATTTTTTTTTTTTCAAGGTTGGAATCCAATTCGATTCTCAATTTTAACCTTACTTAGTTAACTAGAGTCAGCCGAGGGCTCTATAACAGGCCCCCTTCTGTTTTTGCTAGATTTCCAATTTAGATCTCCTGTTTCTGGCGAATCATCACCAAAGAATAGACACTTGGGTTCGTACATGTGAAAATTATTGTCCCGCAGCTCCTTGTAAATAAATAATTGGGAATTTGAGGCTTTATAATTTGGCTGGAAGTCACAACCTCGACACACTGTTGTTTTTGGCAACAGAGCGTGGAGCAGCATACATTGAGCGTAAAAGCTAAAACAGTCAGTTAACAGACAAAATACAGCTCACTCCTCCTTGAAACATATCTGTGCTGTTATGCACCAAGCAGCAGGAACAATAATTGATCTAGGACAGACAGACAGACGTTATTTTGTCACTTATTGGGATGAATATGCTAGCTGTAGCCATTTACATCCACTCTTTGTGCTAAGCTAGGCTAGGGGTGGGTGCGTCAAACAGAGTTACAGCATGCACGGAGATGAAAAAGGCATGTATGGACTTATCTAACTCTGGGGGATACGGTGAATAAGCTTAAGTCCAAAAAAGTCTGCGTGTTCCTTTAAGGTTTGCCTTTCAAATAAGTATGAGAATATGGTTAATTATTCCCTCTCCCCCAGGGCCATGCTCAGACCTGCCCTTCTGAAACCCCAACACCTAAAATGGTACTTAAAGGCTGCAGGGAGGGTCATCCCATGCAGTACGACCACATTGTCATCATGTTGGATGGCCAGTCAATTACAGAGGAGAGTGAGGACATCTCAATGGCATTGGGCCTCGTCCTTTGTGTATATTTTCTGTTTGGGATCCAGTATCCTAAAGCAGGGTTTCTCAACCTTTTGCCTACTGCGACCCACTTTTTTTTCGTATGCCAGTCATACGACCCACTAAGGCTGGAAATAATTTTTTTTTTTTTTTTTTTTTAAAGGGACAATGCACATCAATTGACATCACTCAAAATGTAAATGCGCCAGAGTTAGCAGAAAAGCTATCATCTGTAGTCCCTTGGCAGGTCAACACATCATATTCCATTAATAAAAAATAAAAAAAGAATATATGAGAAATATAAACAATTAAGACAGAAGAAAAAAAAGGAGATAAAAGAGAAAGAAGCAAATAGAATAAATAAGTACAAGGGCAATACCTGGGATAAGGTAAACATTAACTGAAATGCCTCTTAGATATATAGGCTACTACTCCGTCTGCCTATGTTTATTATAATTAATTTCACAAAAACACAGAAACATTTTCAATAGACAAGACTATGAGGCAAACAGATTTTTTTTTTTTTTGCTCAAGTTAATGTGACACTTGGGACTGCCGCTCTGAAATAATCATATCCAGACGCGGTGGAATTTGGGAAATTGCGACTCGTAGCGTCGCACACAAACTAGCTGTTGTCAGCCTATTCCTGCTTTTTGTTTTCGTTGCAGTCACTGTTGAAATTCCTGATTCGCAAAGATAGGTAGTGCTAAATGGCAAGAGAAACTTCGTTGCACGTTCTGCGAGTTCAGGATTTCGTGTCTGGTCTGAATCCAGAATGAGCTCAGGTCTGTTTTGCGAAAAGCAAGCTGCAGGCTTCCGTCAGATGCAAGTTCCACTAACTGTGTTTGCAAATTAATGGGGAGTACAACATCCACATCACTTGGATCTACTGAAAAAGGATCGCGAATCCACGCATTCCCAACTCTTCGGTCGTTGGGGAAATAATCAGAGAATTTCTGTGTTAATCTGGTCAGGTGTTCCCGGACAATTCTCTGTATGTCGGTGCTGATGTGAGGGAATTCCTGCAGAACATCAGTGAGGTTAGGAAACATGTCAAAAATGTTCTCCTGCACTCTCTTCTCCCACAATACCAACTTCCGTTTGAATGCTTCAATTTTGTCAGCCATCAAGAAAACACTGTTGTTTCTCCCCTGAAAGGATAGGTTTAGCTGGTCAAATATATCGGACATGTATGCCAGTTTCCTGAGAAATTCAGGCTCCGTATAATGCTTTGCCAGGGGAGACCGTTTCTCCTCCAGAAATGTGTGCACCTGCTTGCGCATTTCGAAAAGACGATTAAGAGCTTTTCCTCGCGAGAGCCACCTAATTTCACTATGATATAACAACTGGCGGTGGTCTGATTCCAGCTGGTCGCACAAAATTGAAAACAAGCGGGAACTGAGAGCACTGTTCTTCACTAAATTAATTGTTTTGACAGCAATGTCCATTACCTCATTTAAGGGCACTGACATTTCTTTGGCTGCAAGGCTTTCACGGTGTAAAAAGCAGTGAACCCACGTCGCCTCGGGTGCTCTGTCCAAAAAATTTCTCACAACACCACTATGTTTGCCTGTCATTGCGGCTGCGCCATCCGTGCAAATACCTACGCAATTTTTCCAAACCAGGCCATTCTTTGTGAAATAGTCATCAAGACAATTGAAACACTCATCTGCTGTCGTCCGTGTCGAGAGCTCATTACACATCAGTAGATCCTCATGTGTTGCACCTTCGCAGTTGTAGCGTACAAATGCAAGCAATAAAGCCATCTTTGAAATATCTGTTGATTCGTCGATTTGAATGGCAAACAAGGGGCTTGCTCGCACTCGATCCAAAAGTTGCGTTTCAATATCATCGCTCATGTCTATAATCCGTCTGGAGAAAGTGTCGTTGGAGAGTGGGATTTCTTTTATTTTGCTAGCAGCACTTTCCCCTAGTACCTCGCGGCACATGTCAACTGCACATGGGATAACTAGCTCTTCACCAATATTAAATGATTTCTTAGCACGGGCGATATGGCCAGCTGCCAGATAACTTGCCTTCAGGGTGCTTTTTGAAGCTATTGTGAGCGACACAATACTATTTTGCTGTCTTTTAAGTAGGTCTCGCTTTCGTACAAAGTAATCCACAGGTTTACCCACACATGTTGGATGTTTAGTCTGTAGGTGACGTTCAAGTTTGGATGGCTTCATGGACTCATTTGCCAAGACCTCACCACACTCGACACACTGTGGTTTTTCATCCGAAGAAGTAAATCCATATTTAATATAGTCCGGGTTGTACTTGCGTTGTTTACATTTTGCTGCCTTTGAAGTTGAAGGAGTTTCCGAACCTTCTGCTTTTTTTCTTTTAAAAAACGGATGCATTTTGTCAAGCTAACAGACCGTGGCTGCGTATAATTTAATAATAAGGTCTGGCATAGCAGGTAGGGCTAGTAACATTATGTAAATAGAGTATGACCTTGTCCAATAAGAGCCTTTCGCGGCAATAATAAATTATTTTGATAGGATAGTTGAAATACAGCGTTAGAAGCCACGGCAATAATGAAGACAGTACGACATTCGAAAATCAGATTCATTGGAGGACTGGCTATGTTTACAACTTTTGTTTCAATCTGTGCGCATTTATATGATTAGGTGTTAAGGCTTTTTAGTCCGATTGAGCCGCCAATGCGTTTACTAACGGATTATTTTGTTGCACTTGCACGTATTGCAATGAGCCTATTGTGAAGCCCACTGATTGGCTGTGGTAGTGAACACTGAAGTCTTGCGACCCCCTACAGAATTATCAACGACCCACTTGTGGGTCGCGACCCACCGGTTGAGAAACCCTGTCCTAAAGGACTGAAAAAGACACGGACCTTTTTGGAGTGCGTTGTTTTAAAAATGAAGGATGCAGCTGGACTTCCTGTCACGATTAAAAGGGTGTACAACTCAATCTGTGCATAGACCAGAGTCTCTCTCTTTTTCTCTTTTCTGGGCCTCTTCCAGTTCCAATTTCTATTTTTTTTTTTCAGAGTATACAACTCCGTTAGCCAGTGTTAATGTTAAAAAGCATTGATTATATTTGCAACTGAAATAAATTATTTAAACTGTTTTGAAAGTGTAATGTATTTTGTTTCTCAGTAAGGTTTTGTACAGGATTTTGAATCTTTCAATCCACGATTTGGTAAGTAAAAGTGTAATTTAGAAGAATATATTGACTCATCAATTGTAGTATCTGGGATGATAATGGCCCCTACTACCTCAAAAAAAAGGGGGGAAAAAGGTTCTATATAGCACCATTTGACAAATGTGCTATAAAGCTTCTTAAGTGCCATACAGTACCAAAAGAGGTTCCAAATAACCACTGTTGAGCACCATTTTTATTGAAGCAATTGTAAACAATCAAGGTTTTATATGGCACCTCTTATGGTTCTATATGGCACCATTTGACAAAGGTGCTGTGTAGCACCTTTAAATATAAGTGCTATGGTTCCCCTATGATTACAAGCCAATGGTGCTATTTAGCACCATTTTTGTTTAGAGTGTATGTGAGAATCATCCTGACTACTCATTCAGATAAGTCAATAAAGTCTTTTAGAATGTGTATGACGTGTTTTGTTTGAGAAAGCTTTATGCGAGGAGGCGTGATCTCTCAATATGTATGGAATTTCACACCTGAGAAAGACAAAGACCCTCCCATAATGGCCCTATTAGGTGCTATCAGGCCCTATCATTACGAGGAGCCTTGCACAAAGAATGAGGAGATTTAAAAAAGAATGGCTTTTAGATTGTTTGTATTTATTTACAACACAACATAATCCAAAGATACACAACAAAGGACAAAAAAGCACATTAGTAAACACACTGATCTAAAGACAGAAGCTTGAACAGTCACACAACATTGTCCCATTCCTGAAAAATAGTACATACCTGTCATTTCCAAGGTGTTTGATTTTTCATTTTACCATGTTCACGTACAGTCTCCTGTGAATGTTGAACTTAGCAGGACTCATCAGTGGCATCTCCTCCCTGTAAAAAAAAAAAAAAAACACTAGGGATGCACGATGATATCGGGACAACATCGGTATCGGCCGATAAAAGCTTAAAATGACCATCATCGGCATCGGCCGATATGAATATTTCTGCCGATGAGCCTTGCCGATAGGGTGGCGTGTTTCCTATGCGCACGTGACGCGAACGAAGCATGAGCGCCAGCAACTTAAACTTCCAACTAGGGGTGTGCGTCTCACGGTTTTTGATTGATGTCTCCACGATCTGCTTTTGAAGAAAAATCATAGTATCGTGTAGGGCTGGGCGGTATGACGGTATATATCGTTACCGCGGTAGAAAATGTCAACCGTAACGGATTTTTTTATTCCGTGTATACCGCGACATGCAAATAAGTGGGCGTGGTAAACTCGCGTCCAACGTGCGTGAGACTGAAACACTGAGAATTGTAAAAAGAAACACGGAGAAAGCAGATCAAGAGGATCCACAAAGGAATGACATTTTCTAAAGGGTTGTTGTTGTTGTTAACGTGATATTTTCGGGGGGAAAGGCGCAGCAGTCACTAGAGCAGTGCAGCACCCAGGCTACAGATTAGTGCATGCACGCTCGCAACGGGGAAAGCTGGACAACAACAGTTCATCAATATCATAACGAATAGAAATAACCTTAAATAATGTATAGTTATCAGCATCTTTCCGTCTCTTATAGTTTTAAAACACGCAAACAGTTTGCCGCCCGTGGTAATGTGTAACCTGCTTGTTAAAGTGAATGTGTAATCCTGTAGCCTATCTGAGGCAAAATTACTAAATATGCATCGCGAGTTATATATTTCTAACTCCAAACAATTGGCCACTGAACCAGCTGATAAAATCTTCCTTTGATTCGATACGTGATTACAACTTGACACTCAAATTAACCGATCGCATTTTACTGATGCAGAAGACGCGCACGCGCGTGCACACGCACTGAGGGAGCGCGGTGTTCACCGGGCTATGGTCAAATAATGACGCAGTTACAAGGTGTGTATAATTTAAACTAGGCTACTTTGTCAACACTAACAGTAGCTGCTGTTCGGTTTTCAAACTGCTGCTCTCCTTCTAGTCACTTCTGAACTTCTATTGATTAAAGCGCAGGGTGACGGGTTGCCAGATATCACAAAAAGAGCAAAACAAGCCCCTTAAAAACGCAGTGTAGCCTAAGCAGACATGGCAAAAATGTACCGGGGAACACATTTAAACATAACTAGTATTACTATCCTACAAAATTAAAAGGAAATAACTAATTTATCATGAATAGAATAGTTCAATATAAAATATTCAGATATTATAAACTGATTGATGAAGTAAAGCATAACATGAGATTGAAAAATTATTCAGAAACACTTTATTTAAAGTTTAATTGCACCTATGAGTTGTATTTAATATCAATCAGTTGGGGGCAGTTCATCTAAAAGTTGATGAGTGTGTTTTGTTTATATTTAGCTATCTAAATAGTTTACCAAAGAAATAATTTACCAAATAAGAGAAACAGAAAACAATGTGAAGTACTTTTTATTTCTAAAGTATTTGGGTTTATTTATTATACGAAGCCCTTTTTGACGATTTTTCGAGAATAGCTAATAACTATATCGTGAAATATATCGTTACCGTGAAATAAAATTAGTCATACCGTGAAATAGAATTTTGGTCATACCGCCCACCCCTAGTATCGTGCATTCTATCAGTTCAATTCTGGCGCCTTCATCTCAACATACTGTACAACGCGACGTACATTCACATCACATCAGATGTAAACGCAGAGGTAGAGTTACACTCACGGTCACGGGACACCGCAATTCACAAAAGTTCATTATTTGCATGTGCGTCAAAGTCTTGCTAGGTAAACATATCATTCACGTGCTGATGCGCTGTTCTAACATCCGCTTTTCTGAGCGCGTTACACCCGACGCTCGCAGGAACTAAAAGCCTGTCACAGAGTCTGCATACTGGACTAATCTTTCGAGTCTTATTGCGCTGATACTGTCAAATACACACACGGTTTACATAAACAAAGTTGGTTATGTCTAAAGTGAAAGCAAACAGAGAAAATCTGCTTGTCAAATGCGTGTATATTAGACGCGTCGCGTGCAGTTCTTAAAGAGACAGTATAATATGCTGCCGCTTGTCCTTAAAGAGATACTGCACCCAGAAATAAAAATTCTGTCATTATTTACTCACTCTAATGTTGTTCCAAACCTGTATTCATTTCTTTCTTGTGCTTAAATATACTATGGAAGTCACTGAAGTACAGCAACTGTTTGGTTAGCCACATTCTTCCAAATAACTTTTATGATTTCAACAGAAGAAAGAAACTTGAGAGAGTAAATGATGACAATTTAAATTTTGGGGAGAACTATCTCGTTAATGTTAATAAAACAACAAAACACAAAGAGGAAATCACTCACTGCTCTTGACTGAGAACTTTAATAGAAGCTTTAATAAGCTTTTTTTGCACTTAAAAAAAACAAACAAATATATCGGTATCGGCATCGGGCAAAATTAGTCTGAAAATATCGGCTTATCGAATATCGGCCAAAATCCTATATCGTGCATCCCTAATAAACACCTGTGAACATGCTGATATCAAGAGAAATTATATGGCTGCACGACTTTGGGCATGCATTGTAGATTTTTCTGGTTAAAATTGCGATTCAATTATACACACACACACTGCTTAATAAGTGAACACACCCATGCTAAAGTTGACTAAAAAGAGGAATAAAAAATCTTATTACCTTAATTAAAAAATGAGAAAAACTCTAAGTTTTAGACTGCAGTCAAGCCAGCCTCCACCTCGAAATGAGCGGTCAAACTAGCCGCCCCTATATTTCTCTATGCGCTTATACACTAGGTATTACGGTAAGACCGTCAACCATTCTGAAACCATTCAGTCAACCATTCTTCCAGCGAAGGCTATTTCAG